CCTTTAGCCCGAAGGGGCTTATTAAAATTCAATGACTCGCAATAGGCAGGTTGCAGGGGAAGAGGGGCTTGTTAGAGAGGAGGTGTTAATTAACCAATCATTGAAAGCCTTATAGTGAGTTAACCTTAGCCAACTGTATAAAAATACCACTTGCAGTGTCCTGTGGATTTATAAGGAGAAGGAATTAGGGAGAAGGTTTTGTTTAAGAGTGTAGCTATTTTAAGAATAGGTGGAGCTTAATTGAGGGTCAGCAGGTAGAACGGTAATTGTTTTGGGATGATCTTTGGCGCTAATTAGGGAAATTGTGATAAGCCGTAAAGCATACGTGGATATCGCCACGACTCGTGGGTTTCAAGAAGTGCCCCTTTGATAGGCGTTCACGATCACGCAAATGAGATTTAAATTGCGAGAAAGTAAACAGGTGACGCGAGTCATGCGAGATGTCCCTTTCTTTGAACCTTTCGCTCTTAGACTTGCGCGGCGACGAATTATTATAAGATTAATTTTTTTTTTCTCACTGATTTAATTTGGAGTTTCGTGCCTCTCTATAAAGATAGGAAAGGGCGATTGTTTGTAGTCTAAAATTCTCCCGTACAAAATGCGCACGCGCACCACGTGGTGTGACCGTACTCGTTCCACGTGGATTTGTTAGCCTTATGTTCAATTTAGTAGTTCCACGTTTAAAAACCTGAGCACATGGCGGCGTTATCTTTACGAGTTTGTCGGATTCCAAAATAAGTTACAAGCTTATCTATTCGACTTAAATTGAAAGAAAGGAAGATTTCTGAAAACTGCCTATATTTTAAACCAAGTTTTCCAATCTTAACTAGTGCCCCCAGCTCTGTTTGGTTTTGATTTTGTAACGGCCAACCACGTGTGAGAATCAGACTTTCAAAGATTGATATATTTGAGACTAATGCATAAATACCTCCCTTAATTTGACTGCACTCTTGAGATTTAGAATTTGCGGCTAATTTGTGAATATTCCTCCATGTTCTGCTTTGCGTAACCGCAAAAAAAGACGTTTTTGTCCACCAACAACGAAACATTTCTCGAAAGTCCCACCGATTACATTATTCCAAGGCCTTATTTTGAAATTATGTTTAGTTTTTAGATATTTCTACCGATTGAATTTGAAAAATAATTACTGTTTTTGATCTTAAATGTAAATAATGCACAAAAGAGCTTTTCGGGAACAGGAACGATCGAGACTCGAAGAAAAACGAGAACCTGTAGAATGAAAGTACAGGGTGTAAACAGCGTTACTTTCAAGCAACATTTTTGGCGCCACCCCAGAGTTGAATTCCCTCCCTTGGAGTGTTCAAGCCAATCTCTACGACCCAAGGAACTGCATTGTAACTAAGGGGGGTAGGGTGGGCTTCTTTCTAATCATACCGTGAGAGTTTTAAGGATTTTCTTGGTCCATGCAATAACCTTCATGCAAACTGGTAAGATTTGAAAAAAATGGAATTTATATTAAAAGATGACTCATTACAAATTACCAAAATATTCTCCGTCTAACGGGCCGATCATTATTTATAGCCTGAGTAAAGGGTGGAGGATTTTAAGGGATATTCTGGTTTTCCTTGGGGAAGGAGGGAGGGGACTGTCAATGAACTATCAATAAAGGGAGGATATTAAGACTATTAGAGCCTTATGGTGAGGTCTGGATGGGGTTAACTGACAACTGACAAATGACCAAAATTTTAACTGACAACTGACAAATGCCTGAAAAAACTAACTGACAACTGACATTTGTGGTGGGCTTTTACTGAAAACTGACAAAAGCCCGGATCGCCCTAAATATCCTAAAAACTGGATGTAAAATAAGGACAGTGGATTTATTTTGTTCAATGAAAGCACATTTTCCATTACATATCAGTGGGAGTACGTCAAAGTGTCCTATTTCGTTAATAATTACCGCATGTGCCATCCACATCATGGTCATGTGTCACATATCAGTTATATGATCTTTGATACACAACTCGATCGTCAACTTACGCGATGGCCGTGAATGCTGGTATTTTAAGAGCTATTGTAAGCTTGTACCGAATTGAGTCGGAAACGGCATTTAAGCGTCACAGATGTCGCATTCCTATCAAAGATGCTAAAACTACACTAGCGCTGAAAAAGCACCTTTACTTTGTTCCTTGGTCCAAAGGAGTTGTCTAGTAAGTATGGCCTCGGAGATTTTGATGTGAAACTTTATCATATGGCTCCGAAATCAGGCGGCAAAAGCGATAATTTTGCGTTAACTACGGACGAGCAAGGGAATTTGGAGCTTCCGACCATGCTGGCTGGAACAGAAAGCGAATTAAACAGTATGCATTGGAGTGGTTTTGTATTTGGTACTGGTATGAACATATCAGTTAATAGCCTACTCTTTATTAAAAATCGCCCATTCGCTGCCGACGTTTAACATAGTTAATAGAGGGGACTATGCTTCTAAGCGCCGTCAGAATTTTCTCATTCTTGAATTCATGTAGATTATGTTTTATGTAGATTATAATGACATAGCTAAAGTGACTGTGAAAAAGTTAATAATAATAACAATAATAATGATAATAATGATATCTATATAGCGCCTATCCATTGATAGATTTAGGCGCTTAATAAAGTGAGAGGAAATTTAAAATTAAAGTTAATTAAAGTAAATAAACTTAAAATTGAAGTAAAAGCATAGAAAGTCTATTTCCTAATGGCTGAAGTTAAATCTTCTAGAGTCGCAGTGATGCGACTGACTGGTCCTATTTCATGATGTTTGTCTGCTGGGCATATTCTGGTTTCGTGTGATTTTCGAGAGGTTCTTAGCTGGCTCGAATTACATTGTGCAGCATTTGTTACGCAACTCATGGCTTCACAGTAATAATCGCAGAGATATACCATTTTGTTCTTATCGGCTCCTTGATATCTAAAGTGATGAATGATTCGGAAACTCGAAGCCGCTGAATTCGGAAACTCGAAGCTTGTCCAGTTTCGCCCTTCTTTAGAAAAGCCAACTTCAATCTGTGCAGCAAGTAAAAACATTCTGGTGTGTGCAGGCGATGCCCAGAGAGGAATTATACAAGTGACATTACACTACAATGGAGTAGGCATTGCTGGTACCGGAGTCAGACTCGTGACCTACCCGACTGGCATTTTGAATATCATATCTATGAAAGATCACAAACAAATAGCTTACTTTGCAGCAGTCGGTATAGGCGGTGGCCTTTACGTTTGCGACCTTTCAAGCTTAGAAGTTGACCAACTTCTAAAGAACAACTCGGAGTCTTGTAGAGAAATCAAAAGACTGTGAATTTGAAGACGGGATAGCGTTCACTGACTCGGGGGATTGAAAGGTAAAGTTCTTCAGTCCTTCTGAGAAAATCGTTAAAACCTTGATGGCCGGTCAGGAAGGAGCAAGTGAAGGAACGGATAAAACGTGTACTTTTACGTGTTCATGGCATCTGTTCTATGGAGAAGACTCTATTCATATCGGATGTGACAACAGGTTGCATTAAACTAGCGTCGGGATTCAGTGGTACTGTGTCGTACTGTGTTGTACTCCGTCGTACTGTGTCATTCTTAGAAGTCTTAGAAGTGGCACTCTGTAGTTCTTGGAAGTCTCTATGACAGTTTTGGTATCGGAGCCCAAAGCATAGAGAAAGCACAATTGTCTCTTCAAGATGCCGTAGACAAAGTATCACATGTAAATGAAAACATCGCAAAGACCGTTTCTCAGGTGAAATAACAGCACAGTATAAAGGAAACCACAGCAACCAACGGCCCTGAAAGAACTGTCTCATAAAACTCAAGTCCCACTTAAACTTCTCGAAGAAGGAATGCACCGCCTGCACAACAGCATAGCTTCAATTAACAACGATTATCTCCAAGATATTGAATTGAGCACGTTACTCTCAACAGTTGCGGAGAATCTACATGCAGTTTCACATTTTAAGCATGAGACCTTCACCGCATTACAGCATTCCCAAGACTTTGGATTAATTACCAAGGAGTCGTTGAAGAGAGTAACGAAATGGGCAGCCAAGTATTTTACTCATGAAAAATCCTACTATCCTGTCCCTCAGACCAGCACGGAGTTTGCAAATGTAAACTTTATGCGACCTCTACCTTCAGTAGAGATCGACCCCGAGATTGAAAGTGCTATGAAAGAATTTGTGGACTTNTTCTTTGCAACATTTTGACCCGTTAAGTGGTTGCAAATGAATATTGCGCACGGGAAACAGAAGTTTGTATTCAGAAGAGTCGTAACTGACTCAAACAATGACTGAAAGACATTCGAAAGATCTTATTTCATTCCAGAACTAAGAAAAAGCAGTTCTTGATTGTATCAGTTTTCGACTAAYTTTTCGATTGTACGCTATATGTGCTTTTCAGCCAAAATTATAGGGTCGGAAAGTAATAATTAACTTGCCAAGTTAATCATAAACAGTCATTTAACTGACAACTGACAAATGCCCGAAAATTTAACTGACAACTGATAAATGGCCGAAATTTTTACTGACAACTGACATTCGTACCCCCCAATCCAGACCCTCTTATGGGGGAATCAGGTGAATTTTAGCCTGACAAAACGAAAATCCTCCCCCCTCCCCACCCAGTTGAGAAATAAAGACTGGTCCCGAAATCAAACAAGTGCTTAACAAATGCAAATTAAAATCGTAAATACATTTTTGCTATACAAAGATTGTTTATCCAAGAAACTAGTTTTCAGAATAGCTCCGCTTCAAACATTAAAGATATAAAACATTAAGTGACTCGAAGAGGCTGAAACTGAGGATAGCAACAAGAAGGGCTATTGCAATGTCCAGTTTTGAAAACTAATCCAAAGTTTACGTCATAATACAGGGGCTTAATTAGTGTTTTCTGCACGAGGGCAACTGGTTTTCACAGGCGGGAAAAACTCTTTGAACTGAACTTCTTTATAAGATAAACTTTCCTCCAGACCGTCAAATCAGGTGGGCAAAACCGTCCTTATAACCGGTCAATTTTTCCAGTGCCTGGCCCTTAATGAAACCCCTGCATAATACCTCTTCTTTGTTACTTTCAAGTAAAAAAAAAATGAAAGTGAGAAGAAGATCAGGCCGTGAGTTCATCAGTTAACGATTGATTTAACATCTGAAAAATGTACACAATTAACATAAAATCTCCCGATAGCCCGGAAACCTTTTTCTGATATACTGACCTTTCGTTCAGCTAATCTTTAGTAAAGAAATCTATGTTAAAAAACTACTTTGTAAAAAGTGTTTTTTCCTCTGGTCTCTGGTAACTTAAAAAATAAATCCTAAATCAAAATAAATGAGTTCCAATGGATACTCGATCGCATACAGCCTCTTTTAGCGCTGAAACGCACTCCCTTTATTTAATCTTTAGTTCAGAAGAAAAATTTGTACAAACCTCCGATCTGTTAGTATTTTTCTCCGGGTACATAATGAAAGCTAACCAAGAAATCCCATAGCAAAATTGAAAATATGTTCAAAATGTCTTATCGATGGCGCATTCACATGAAAATGAAAAAAGATCAGGCTGTGAGTTCATCAGTTTACGATTGCTTCTAGTAAACCTAGCATCTACAAAAGTTACATTTTTTATATATATTTCTCACCATAGCCTAGAAACCATTTTTTGATGTACCACTGAAACCTTCGCCTAGTAAATCGTCAGTAGAGAACTGTTTATAAAAAGACTCCGATGTGAAAAGTATTTGTCGCTGGGCGCATTGCCATTTCCCCGGTCCATTTGAGTCTCTGTACAATCCAATCCTGGTTTGGTCCGTGAAGTTTTGTTACCATCCATGTAGACTCTCGTCCTTTCTCTTGTGAGTCTTCGTCCAGCTTTAATTTCAGAAACTACAGGGGATTAGAAATACAATGAAAATTAAATTTTTCTTATTAAAAAATTGGAAAAGAAAACCTCCTAAGATGTTAAGAGCGATATTCAACTCAGTTTATACGCGACGCTAAGCCAAGACAAGTGCCATAGGGTTTTAGGGTTTGGAATAAAACAAGAACAAACAACTTGAAAGAGTTGTTTAATTATTAGAATAATTAACAATAAAGAAGGTATAATACTTACATGTACATCAGCCAAAGTCTAAACTTCAGGAGCGTCCTGTAGGTCCAGTGTGACGTCATCACCAATGAATTTCTCATGCAGTTCATAGCTTGCTGAAGAGCTTCACTGGCTCTCATTCCTGCCATAAGTTCTTTGTAGAAGTACTTCATGAATTCCATCGTGGCCTCGTCGCCAAGCGCCCACTGAGCCACCAAAACAGAGCGAGCTCCGGCACCCAGAAATGATTGCGCTATGCCAATTACTCCTTCAGCCGCTTTGATCTCTTCAAGAGCGCTGTGACAGCAGCTTGGCACAACCAGCCTTACCCGCTGGTGAACATCTGCGGACACATCCTTCATGGTGAGAAGATAATCTTCCTTGGTAGGTGTCTTTGGTTTGCAGTTTGTTCGTGGCACCAGGATAATTTCTCCTGCCGTTCTATCTGGCCATGAGCTGTGATGTGCACCAGAGCAACTGACGAGAGCCGCCTCAACACCTTATCTTTTGTTGCTTTCTTCCCAATGAGCTAAGTAGAGCCGAGGATGTCACCAATCATTTTTACTTCTTTTTCGGCACATGGAAGCGGAAATAACTTTCATCGCTCGAAAAAAACTTCATCCAAACATGGATTATCTAATGTTTTTTTTTCTCACTTGATAAAGTAATGCTTTGGACATCCAGTTTCTCCTCAAGCGAAATAGAGGTAGCTTGACCATCTTCTGTGGCTGAAGTACCTAGAAACAATTTAAGGTGCCGATGAGATTTTTGTCACTCTTGCTTGCATTTTTAATTACGAAGAAGGCCAGAGGATTGAAATGTTTGCGGCTTTTGTTGAGAAAATTGTTTTTTTTTTTTTTATCCACAAGTTTAGACAGTTTGTGGGATCGTGGATCAAGGCCATAATTTTTTTTAGAGTAAGTAGGGGTAAAGATTTCTTGTTCCCTTTGTTTTCTCTGTTTCTTTTAAACTATTTTTAAGGGTCTCTTGTTAGCTTCTACTGAGAATAATTTTTAGCTATATCAAGACAATCTCCCCTTTGTTTATTCTTGGTTTATAATGTTACGGCTGTACATTTTGTGCCCCATACTACATTATATGCTGGAAGCCTAATGATGCTTTTTTTTTTTTTTTTCAGTAGGCCACTTTTCTTTGCCGAGAAATATCAATTATAGCAATTATTGAGCATAAGATACCCTTTTTCCCTTCCACGTTTGCACAATAGAATCTCGTCCATTTTCAAATCCAAGCAGTATGTAGGCTGACTGTTTATAAATACAACTACCAACTCATCGATAGAGGTTCGACTCTCATTGGTGGCACTCAGAATTTTCTCTTTCATGAGTAGGAGTGTGTAATTTCAATGTGGTAAATCATCACTTAGTTGTGATAATAGTAGAATATCATCATTTGGTTGCATTCTCACTTGATGAAGAGTTTTTCTTAAAATCCAGTTTTTCCCCAACTGATACCGGTGTAACTTGGGGTTTCACCATGGCTGAAATACAAAGAAGTAAGTGAGTAAAGGTTTATTCACACAGGGTAGCCCATTCAGCTCTAAGGCTGGTATCCATAGGGGCCCTGTTTCTTAAAAATCATGAATTTACATCAAGATTTTCAATTACATATATACCTGTATATGACTAGAATTTTAAAACTACATTTACAGCCTAAGACTACAAAGCCAAAACACAATTAATACCTAAAATAGTAGATAGAATATCAAAGAACAAATAAAATCAGTATCAAAGAACAAAACATTTTTTAATTTGCTTCGATGAAATTTTTGATATTTCAATCCTAGCAGTTTGCGGAATGTCGACTCCATAAATCTGATCTATTGGTCCCAGATTACGAGTATCCTACAACTTAGTGACTATGGTTTATCTACTATGGTTCATAGTCCCGGGGACCGTTCGGAATTTCTCTTAACCGATTATGTGTACGTCACTCGCGAGAAAACGTCATCTTTCAGTTTTTCTCACCTGATGAAGCGTTTTCATGGGTGCTTTGTTTCTTTCCTCGAAATGGATGTAACATGGGGATCTTCCATGGCTGAAATACAGAATAGGAAAAGGAATATTTATTAGTTTCGTCGACAAAACTTTTTAAGTTTTGCCACTCCCTGTTGAATTCATTACAAGCTACATAAAAGCTTTTTGGTTTTTGTTCTTAAAATGACTCACCGGATATTAAACTCGTCTACGGTCTGGAATAAATTGATGTAATAAGGCTTTTTATAGCCTATTATCGAAATCATCCCTTGGTTGAGACACTGGTCGAAAACCATCATTTTATAGTTTTATTTCAGCTGTTGGGATGTTTTTATGAACGTTCAAATTTTCCTCCTCAACCAATACCAATGTAACTTGAGCGTTCTCTATAGCTACATTACAACAAAAGAAGTATCTCTTAATCGGCTTTAAGGAAACATTTTCACTTCATGAGGGATGTTGAATAAGATATTGTTGGGGAAACTGTCTAAAATATTTTAGGGACGTATGTGAGATGTAGAATCGTTGGAATCGGGGCTTTTCAATTTATGCATTGTCTTCAATGTATGTAGTTCGTAGCTCACTTAAAATGAATAAAGGGGAATACTTCCAGCATTTCTACTTTTTTGACTTGAAATATCTACCTCGACACGATTTCAAAGCCTATTCCTTTCACAAGACTTTTTTTCTGGCCACTCCTGAGAATTTTAAATGCAATTTTCGTCTTGGTAACGTTTTAAATAGTGCAGGAATTCACAGTGTTAATCTTTTAGAGACTGTCTCTGAAGACAACTTCTTAGGCAAGCTACAAACTCTCCAACAGGATTGAATGGCTCTTAATATTAAGGCAAAATTCTGCTTAAAAGGCGAAATACATGATCATGGACACCTTTGTGAAACGGTGTTTTCATTTCTTTCTCAACTGTAGATGTATTGTCACCAGTTCCTAGTTTTTCATCAGGTGATGGAACATTATCTTTCGCCATATCTGAAAAGAGAACAGAGTGGAATGAACGTTGAATTTAAAACGGTACAGTTTAACCTTCCGAAGAGAACAGTCTTTATTCTTTATTATCAGCCATAATATACCAGTTCAGTGAAAGATGTTCGGCTACCGAGTTGGGAGTATTTGCAATTTTCTCCTATCTTAGTTGTGATAATAGTGGAAACTATCATTGGATGGTTTTTCTCACCTGATAAAATGACGCTTTGGACGTCCAGTTTCTCCACAACTGAAGGCGAGGTAGCTTTGCCATCTCCTGGGGTTGAAATACATAGAAAGAACGTAATGTTAATAAGGTGGTGGTTTTTTTCGAGGGGGTTTTGTCAGTCTGCAGGTTGACGGGCCCAGACCATGATTCAGCATATATATCTTATTAGACGTTTTGTTGTGTAGTATCGCCGAGTATTTACGAGTTGTGCCGTATTTCGATGAGTCCGTAGGGCGAATCAAAATACAAATAACGAGTACAAATACTCAGCGATACTACACAACAAAACAGCTAATAAGTTATTATCCAACATGCCAAATCAGTGCGGGCGAATTTCGCGGATATAAATAAAAATACACACATTTCGTAATTCAAGTAAATTATCTAGGTACGTATGATACACGATCTTCGCAGTAGAGAGCGCTATCTATGCTATAGCGAAAATCAGACCTGAAAAAAATCAGGCCTGTACGGGATTTGAACCACTGACCTCTGCAATACTAGTGCAGCGCTCTACCAATTGAGCTAACAAGCCAACTGGGAGCAGGCCGTTAAGTTGATTCGTAATAAACCCGTGATGATAAATCAGATACGTTGAAAATATGAAGTTCATATATTTTGAACTGCGATTAAAGATACGTATGATACACGATCCTCGCAGTAGACCACGTTCTCATTGCGGTAGCCGTCGT